TATATATATATCACCCCTAAAAATGCAGAATGAAGTATCAAGACGTTCAAACCATCATCACTAAACTACAGAAAGAAAAAAAACCAGAAAACGGTTAAAATCCATCCCATCATCCCATCTCAGCAATCCAGGTAAAATCAAATGCTCAACAAAACAAACAATCAACAATTGTGGAGACACATCTAAAAAAAAATTAATCTTAGATGTATCATCTTAAACAAACATTCTCTTACGCAATATTTACAAAACCGAATCAATTGACCTGGACTCAATTGAAGCTAGAGGGTAAGAGAACAGCACAGAGGAAATAAAAGGAAATAAAGCCCAGCTGCAGAGAGAGAGAGAGAGAGATGTGTTTTAAGCATCTCACTTGAAGCCAACTCTAAGCAAAATAGCATTGAGCGATGCCCTAAGGAGGAAGATTTTTATCGTGTATTTCACGAGTCATTTTCGTAAAAGTTGAGGGGTAAAATCAGAAAAGAATGAAAGTAAACTGCGAAATGCAGCTTGCCACAGATTGAGCCCTGATTTCGCGTGTCGCAATTTTTTGCTGTGCTTTGGCGCTTTCCGTGCTTTGTGCCGCTTGTCCTAACATCTTAACGTTGCGTTCACAAAACGAACCGTCCTCCCGCCACCCTCCTAAATGCTGCATAAGTCATCAATGTTTAAAATTTTCCCAATTAATACATAACCTATTTTATTTAATTTTTATATATTGTTGTTATTACACTACTTTTAACCATTGATATGATATTACTATCACTATTACTATTATCATTATTTTGGTCTCTAACCAATTTTTTCATTAAAATGTTGGTCATCCTAGATTCAAAAAGAGTAAAATTAATCATATTAGTTTAACCTCTTTGTTATCTTATGTAAATTGTTTCTTCTAAATTAATTTTTAATACATTTACACTTTATTAACCATTTCTTATTTTTAAATTTTTATTAAAGAAAAATCAACATAAAAATATAAATCTAATCTTACCACTTCCTCTGCACGACAAGCACCACGATTGATTTCTCTACTATCTGAACTCTCAATTGAGCTCGATCGCCTATTTCCTGCCCTCACAAGATCTTCAGATGGACTTCTTCGTACTCTTCTGCTCGAGATTGAAGGGTGCTCAACGCTAAATTCACACGTGTTCGATTCTCCCTGCTCGAAAACCCCTACACCGCTTAGTCGCATGTTACGCCTTCACAGTCCTCGAGCACCATAGCATTCACTACCAGAAGCGGTGTCATCCTCGTTTTCATTCAATCACTGCTTCAACAAATATGGACAAACACCCTAGCATGTTAGATTTGAGCTTCAAGCCTATACTACTTGAACTTGCCTCTTTGAACCTCCTTTTGTCTTTGCTTTAAAGGTCATGAGAAACGTCTCTTGCTCGATACAACTTTTTTAGGGCAGTAACACTAGCATTGCAGTTTTACAAAAACTGAGTGTTACAATTGGACACAGGAATATGTATGTTCTAGCATATATAATTATGCACCTTTTTTATGGGATCAAACAATGAAATAAGATTCAAATTCTTTTGATTTGTTCTAATTCTCCAAAGCTAGAATGAGCTCAAGATACTCCAAAATGGTGTGTACGTTGTGTCTAGCTTGCTGCGTAGCCCTACTTGGTCCTGGGGTGGCATTTTATATAAGCTTCAAGTGTTCATGTGAAGCAATGATAGCATAATTATGATTGCTAAAATTAGAATGATCGATTTTGTACATAAATTATTTTGATTTTATTTTAGAAACTATAGAAAGTTATGAAGAATATATATATATATATATATATATATATTTATATTTCAGCTTCTCGTTTGGTTTTTTTGATCCCTGCTGTTCACTTGCTCAAAACATATCTCAACCCTAAAAATTAATTTATAGATGTGGTATTGAAGTTTGCTTGGAGTTGTTTGGGAAATCAAAAGCATGAAAGTTGGAATTGCATATCTATCTGAAGATAAACAAAACCGATTTTGTTTGAATTTTTTTCGCCATGAGAAACTTGCATGTTTATAGTTATCATATTTTGATGATAACGCCCTTTCTCTTTCACAGATATATTTCAAGAAGAAAAAGACGGGAGGCATTTCATTCAATAGTACTTGTGCGTTGACTCACGTTGATGAAAAGCTTTGCTACCAGATTCTCCATGAATACAAGATACACAATGCAGAGGTACTTTATTTACTCGTTATATTATGCTTCTTTTAAGTTTCCTTAATATTGAATAGTCTTTGTTTAGCATATTACTTTTATATTGTAAATTCCATTAAACTCTGTTTATTGCTAAATCTGTAAATACATTAATGGCAAGTTCGTTTTGACTTAAAAGTGTTTGGAAGTGCTTGAAGCTGAGTTGAGGAAGCTTCACAAAGTGAGTTTCATTTGTTTGTGTTTGTTTTGCTTGAACTCAATTCTATTGAACTAAATTCTAGTGTTTCTTTGGACTCTAATAAGTTGCATTTTTTTCCCATTGTATCATTAAAATTTTAATTTTTTTTAATGATATATATAAATGCAATATGATAGCACATTCGCATTTTAATGATATGATCTATTTCTATTTTTTTTTATAAAATGAAACATTAATGTCACTTCTAAGTCCTCATAAGTGAACCCCATTACTCTATTTAATGGTGGCATGTTCCAAAAGAAGGAACTCTCTTTTATCTAGTATCAAACAAACATTCAACAATTGTAGTTCCAACCACTTGAAAATACTTTAGCTGAAATAAACAAGCCCTAATAACATTTGGACTTGAATTTTTCCTCAAACGCGAAACTTTATCCATTTAGTTTATCATTGTTCCACAGTTGAGGCTCCCACAATCCCAGGATGCAATTTCTTGCCCATGAATTCAATTTCATCCAGATTTTTTTTTGTTTTTTTTCCAATTTCCTTAAAATGCAAAGTGAATATGACTTCTAAAGCCACATAAGGGAACCCCATTTATCTATTTAATGGTGGCAAGTTTTAAAACTTGGGTAATATCAGATTTGAGATTTTTTCCAAGATACTCTGGTCAATTTTCCTTTTAACTCAATCAAATTTTGTCCCTCAACCAGCTCCACTTGTCTCTACTCCACTTCAACTAGCTTCATTTGAAGAACCAAACTATGTCACATAAATAATCCCAGTTGTCTCCAATTCACCTCAACCTGACACCAATGATTAGAAAATTTGTGTCTACACCACCAGAAGGAGGACCACTGAGCATGTAGAGGATACTATGCAAACTCAAGGCTGTCAAGAGCTAGTGATAAAATTCTTTTTAGTATTCTACATGATATCAAACACACCCTTCTTTTCAGCATATACGTTGTGAGCTTACAATCCCAAACTCGATGTCATCTTATATAAACGGTGCCCTCGGTGAACCCTCTTTTACAGACAAAATGCAATCAGTGCAGGGTCCATAGAAAGGTAGAAAAAACGTAAACCTATAGTTTGCTAAGTGCTTTGCCAGACAGTTTTAAGTTGCTTGTTACTGAATAAAATAAAGGAGAATTTGACCATTTGATGATATAAGGAATTGACGATGAGAATCCAAGAACTAACTCAAAATGAATTGTAGCAAACCAAACCTAATATGATATTCAAAATATTGGAGAGCACATCTCATTCTCATGAGCACCACTATTATATGTATGCTAAATCAAAAACAAACTAGATAATAGAAACTAAGATATAGAGAAACTAAAATATTGTCAACACGATTTATATTTGTATTGTAAGAATTAGGTTTGCATCATTTTACTTAACATAAAAACATTGGCTAGGATTAATTTAGTGTTTAATACTAGTATTGCGAATTTGGACAAATTGGTATGTTTTGTACAAAACTAATTCATGAATCACAAATAAGTTTACCCTCCTAAAACATAATATATTTTTGATATTCATCCATTAGTTACATGCACAATTTTTTCTTGTGAGATATATTTCTAGAATAAGATGTGCTCATCTTTCTAGTAAGGTGTTTGATTTGAATTTGTACTAGAGGAAATAGAAAGACAAGAATCTATGACATTATTTGCAGATTATGAAATAATGTCATATCATACACATTGAAGAATAGAATAATGCCATTACTTTCTAAAGTTTTTTATCTATAAACATTCGTTCTAAGTTTGTATGATTTTATATGATTATGCTTGTCTTATATTTAATTTCATAAAGATTTCAATGAAAAATAGTGTAAAAGTTTGACATATTTTTATCTTATCAAATTCACATCTCTCCTGTTCAGATCAATAATAAACTTATTATTGTTATAGTTAATTGTCAATTTAGTGAATCACTTTGCACAAATTAGACAAACAATTCAAATAAAATAAATGCGATGAAGCATTGAAAATTTTATCATCTACTAATATACGAACGAAGCCTCTAAAAAAATATTAACCTTAAATCGTTGTGATAATTATATATGCATTTCAAGATTTTACTAGATTGATGAAATTTTTAATTTTAGTTTTCTCTTATTGTAGGCCGCATTAAAATTCACTTTATCACCTTGATACTTTGTTTATAAATTTCTAAATTTAAGTATCAAGAAGCAAGAGAAACATCAATTTCAGTTTACTTGTAGAGTTGATTTCGTTTGAGTAGATCTAAAATTGAATACATGGAATGTAATTTTAGTAGTATATCTAGTGGCGGGGTTATAACAATATGTGATTAAATCATTAAAAGGAGTGAACGTTTAGATATCTCGGGTCTATTGTTCAAAGTTGATGATGTAGATGGGGATGTTATTAGTAGTGTTCAAATTTGATGGTTGAAGTGGATGAATGCATCGGGCCTATTGTGTTATATAAAAGTACCACTTAGACTTAAAGGAAAATTTTAAAAGGTGGTGGTGAGACCTGAAATGGTTTATGGTGCATAATGTTGGTTTGCAAAAGATAAACACAAAATTAATTTAAGCGTTGCTGAGATGAAAATGCTCAGGTTGATGTGTGGCTTTACACTTAGAGACAAAATGCGAAACAAATATATCTGTGAAAGGGTTGGAGTAGCTCCAATGACACAGGATTAAAGAGAGATGGTTTGGTCTCATTAAATGTCAACAATCTATTGGCCCAGTTAGGAGAGTAAATGTTATAGATTTAACTTATGTTAAGAAATGTAGAGGTAGACCTAAAAAAAACTCGGGCATGTGTATAAAAAATCATCTTAATTTACTAGAATTAAATAAAAATATGACACTTAATAGGACACAATGGTGGAAAAAAGATTCATGCAGCCGACCCCATTCGGTGGGATAAAGGCTTATTGTTGTTCTTGTTCTTGTGGAGATGATTTGGTGAGAAAGTTCAATTAAGAGTTAAATCCTTGAAAACTGCTGTTGATTTATCAATTTCATTATGAATTGCTGGTTTAGGTTCATATTCAAGAATGGATGCAATTTCTACTGAAATTAAGAGTTCATATTCAGGGAGTTTTCTTACAAGTTTGACTCATATTTTGGGGCAGACATGATTTCACAAAATTTTAATTTGCAATCAAGCTTATATGTTGGTTTTAATTGCATGTTACATTTATATGTGATTGTAGATTTATTTTACAGTTGAATCTCTAACATGAGTTTGGAGGCTGCCTCAATTACAATTTTAATTCTAATGTTGATTGTAGGTCTTGCACGAGTATAGTTTCATATTTTGTAACTGCAGCCTCAATTTCAAGTTCAAATTTTAATTTTGATTGTACCTCTTGCACAAGTATAGTTTCATATTCATGAACAATTTTTAATATGTACACATAATTAGATTCAACAATTTCATATTCATGAACAATTTTTAATGTACACACATAATTAGATTCAACAATTTCAAATTTATGTTCATATTTTAATTTTATATTATTTTTTGGATATAAAATATTCTCAAAAGAATATTTTTAAATTATAAGTTCTTCCATAGGCTAGCGAAAAGGAGATAATGATTTCTCTTTAGGAATTTTAATTACATGTGTGATAGTCCTAAAAGAATTAATACTTGTAACATACCTCAACATTAAAAAATCTAGATGTAGTCTCTAATATTACTCTTTATATTGTTGCTTTAGGTTAGCCCATGTTGGTTTAATTTCAGTTGCAATAGTTAGCCAAAATAATTGAGCTTGTCGCAATAGTTTTTGATTTAAGCATATTCAGTTTTTGAAAAATAAATAAATGATAAAACTAAATAAGTATTTAAAATTATTGACTATTTTAAAAGTTACTCAAGAATATTCCTGTCATCAAATTATAGGAGCGTACTTTGAATCCTTACGATGGTGTTAATGTGTTTATCTTGATTTAAAACTTATCGAATCAATTTAAACTCTATTTTTAAATTTTTGATTGACTTAATATGTTACACTTATAGTTTACTAGATAATGCTTCCATAAGCTCTGATAATTATATGATGCCTTAAGGTCGGAGGCTAACTAAAATAATTTCAATTGAGATGCACGTAAAATTACGTAGAAGATCAAATTCATTCTTTTTCAATCCTAAATTTAGGCAAAGATTTGCTTCTTTTGCTGCGAAACCAAAAAAAAAAAAAACAAATGTAATTTAGTTGAAACGATAATTTAGAAGGCTAGAAATATTGAAATTTCTCAAAAAAATTTTTATTGAATTTGAAATTTCATAATGACTAAGATTCATGACTAAAAAGAGTTGCTTGTGGTGGACATAATAAAATCTCAATCATGCACAAAAAATCAATGTAATAATAGGATGCTCACAATTTAAAGTTCCATGATTCATGTTGATTTAAGAAGCATCTGCTAAAGTTATCATCAATTGCAGTGTTGATACAATTCAAATCCAACATCACACAAATATCATAAGATTAATTTTATTTGGTTATTCATTGAAAAGATAAATAGCTCGGCCGATTCTGATTGTATATCATCCAAGCCCAAAAATCGTTTCTTTCTAAAGTTTTCCAAGATCTTATCAAAATTGCAAATATTCAATTCAGTAATCTTATATTTCCTCACAAACATCAAGTAGCAATCTGATGTTAATGACCACAATAGGTTCCTTAGAGTATGAAATAGAATGCCACAATTAGCAATAGTAGATAGGAGGGAATAAGGAAAGCTACAATATGTGATATAGGCATACCTATCACGATTTCATGAAGGAGCTAGGATTTTCAAGGCAGGAACGGATTGTTG